CGGACAAAGTATACAAATTATATTAAGCTATTTACCGTCCCCGCTATTTATAACACAATTTTTTGAGAATACTGAATATGATGTGCCTAATTTTAGATCAGGTCCTGATAAAAAGTTTACACATCGAGTGCAGATAAGTCTGCGTTTGTCGTTACATCCATATTTCTGGGCAGCCTGTAAAGCCAGAATGTGATTGAAATTAAACAGTGTTTCAGTGCCATGTTCTTTGTGTTTTTCGAAGCAGCATTTTTTTTGGAATGGCATTATACAGGATACGAAAAATCCAAAAGCATATTTATAGATAGACGTGTAACCCATTTCTTCAAAACGTTTTGACAGGTTCAAAAGAGCTCAAATGATTTTGTACTGGACAGTGGTCACTTCATTGGAAATTTCACTGTTTCACGTGTAAGTAATGCACAGGTACAATGCATGATAATAATGGCCAGAACCTGTTCAACTACTTTCACAATGCGAAAAAGAAATTTGAATCATGAAGCCAGTAAACGATATTTTTTAATCTGAAGATTATGTTATATATTTTACATTACACTCATTCGCTGAACAAAAGCATTTATTATGAGAGTCCCAGACACTATATTAGTTGACAGTTATCCCACTAATTCCACGTGATTTTTAAGTGATAGTAAACTCGTAGTAGTCCACAATGCATTGTAGTTCATTGAGTCGATTGGTCAGTTTTTTAAGGCCATGTTTACCTTCTATTTGGAAAATTACTATGCAAATATATACTGACGTCAGGAAATGTAGAGTTCCTGACCTGTTTAAGAAGATCCCTAAAATGAAGTACAGATGCACAAGGGACAAAATCTACCGTTGACTTATTTTGCAATTTCGATATAACATTCTTCAAGTTGTATATAGCCGATTGCATTTAAAAACAATAGGGTTCCATGTGCTCATGTTTTGCTACAACCCAAGAAGACTATATTTTATAAATGCTAGAGATCATATTTGCGTTTGTTAGCGCTAAACTATGTCACATTTTGTTTTTAATACAGCATCTTCGTGCAGTTATATCACCCGTATATCAAAACACTATATGAAATATTGTTATGCATAGATAATTTGATGATAAAAAGTATATAGTTTAAATTTCCCTCTAATATAATGCACTGTTAGTAGAATTCTCGTTATAAATTTACAACATATTCGTTTTCCTTTGCATAATGTTTCAACTTTGTTTAACTTATTTAATGACGTTAATAATTTATCCACAAAACTTTGGCTGTTTATCATAAGCAACGTTAGAAAAACAATACTTTAATGTTCTGCCCTTGGTACTGTATCGTAGACCCTTAAATATAAAAGAATCAATTAAGTTATGTTGATTGATAAAAATAATGTATAGGTGTTATTCCAGAGAAAAAATGTAGCAAATAAAGGGTTCGACAACTTTTTTTGTGTTTCCTTTTGTAACCACCAACTAAAAATAAAGAATTGCATATTCAATTCAACCATCCAGCTGAATGCAAAAGAACTGTGAAAAGGTTTGCATACTCTTAAGGTATTTACACCCATTATGTGACTTAATACATTCATTAGAATACTGTGATGGATTCAGTTAGTTTTATAAAGGGAGATCTAAAGGACGCAATTGCTTCCTCGGAACCCTGTGTTTCGTCTTCTATGGCTGCTGTCATTGTAAAAGTGTAATGTTAACTGCAAACAAATGTATCCATCTATCAGTAAAATACTCTAATAGTTTTTGAACCAATGCCAAAGAAATGCCAAAAAAGTTAAACAAAAGTGCACACGCTGAAATGTCTCGCCTGCATTATTAACCATGATTGATTTTATGTTGATAGTCCGTAAAATAAAGTTTTAATTCCAATATTAAATAAACTTTAAATTATCAATGATCCATGAAAATAAACCAAACCAGACAATCATGTACACATTATAATCATTCCATACGCCAAATATATTTGATATTTTGCTTATAGTATACAAGAAACAGACCAAACCACAAATACTTAAAATTGACCAATGAACAGTGAAAATGAGATGAAGGTCAGATAAAACCGAATCCGAGATCACTAATTTAGAATTCGAGATAACGGATTATTAATCCGAAATAACGGATTATTTAACCAAGATCACGGATTAATTTTACTTTTTGTGTGTCCCTTTATGGCTTCAGTAACCTATGGTGATCTTCACATTTGAATTAGAATGACTTTGGTTGATACGGAAAACTATATTTCACATTCAATTTGTTAATTTGGCGGCGAAGCTCCACATTCGACACAAGCGGGGAAAAACCAAACCAACGGAATTAAAACTCCAAAATGACATACATATTTTTTCATGTGAATTCACACTCACTAAAAATGTCACAATTGAAAATAGGACAAATTCGGTACACTTGATCCAACCTCATATACCTAAAATTCAAAGTTCTGCAAATATCTGATTAGGAAATGTGTTCACTCTCATGCTTTACACAAATACAGAGTAGCACAGGCCGTAGTATGTATGGGTGTACAAAGTTGAGTAGTGAGATATGTTCAGATTCAGACAGTGCAGGATCAATAACCATTCGGAAAACTTGTTATTTTACTGCTTCCCAGTAAACATAGTCCTTATGGGATACAATACAAGTTCTAACAGAAATATCTGGATGTTTTCGTAAGCGCAAGGTAAACAGGACTACTTATTACAAATAATGTTATCCACCTGTATTAAATTAATGTAGATGCATTCAATTGACATAAAAGATATAACTTGATTTCTTATTTAAAGTACAACCAACCATCCATCCATTGATATTAATGAAAAGATACCTACCCACATAATTTGATTTGCGTCCAGTTACATTACTAACAGAAATAATATGAACCTCCCAACTTTCCGTACATTATTTGCTGGAAAAGCGTTAAATTAAAATAAAAAATGAGCTACAACCGATATTGACCAACGATCCAATGAATTGGAATATAAAACAAATTTTCAATATTAAAACACATGATTCAAAATTGAATAAGATATCATAATGTAGCTTGAGACCTTTGATGACTTGACCCTTTAATAAGCAAAATAGTAATATTTGGTCTTAACTTATCATGTTCGACAATCCCGTTTTTGCAAGTTTTCAGTGAAAATAATGAGGTGTTATTTAGCCGTCAACGAAAATAGTGTTTGGGTGAGAGTAAGGGTTAGGAGAGGAGTGATTTAGCCTTCAGTAATTGTAATGAGATTTAATGTTGACGTTATTATAGCTTTGGAACTAAAACGAAAGTTTAAGCAATTCTTATATTTCATGCTGATGTAGTTATATGTGATATATGTGCTCACTCATAACATAAGAACGTGGTTATTATTGGATTATATATATTTGTTTCATATCATTGCGCTTTTACAAGAAAAATAATAATAGTTTTCTTATGCTATTTGGTTAGCAAGGTTATCAAATGATTAATAACAACATTTTTATTTAAAATATTTGAAATCAAGAAAGCTCATTTAAAACAAAAATACATATAAAGAATACCAAAAATCTGCAATTATTACTTAATCATAATATCTGTCCAGACATGAGTTATACAGAAATATATTCAATACTATTTGACATTCAGAAACAAGAAAAACCTGTAAGTTTGCATATAAAACCAAATTTGAACATAAAACCTAAAAACACTCTTAGTTTTATATTTGAATACCTAGATAACAACAAATTTAAAATGTTTTAAATGGAAATAATCCAGTTCATCCTTCCATGGAATGAATTATTAGGTCAGTGGAAAGTATTAGAAAACAGTTTAACTGCAAAGAAAATAAAAATTACAAATATTTTTTTCCTAACATGCACTTATAACACTAATTACTGGCAAGAAATATGCAAACTACTGTTTCATCTTCGTATAGACATTTGATAAGACTAAAACATTTATTAACTGGCTATAAAATAGCAGATACAAAATATCTTGATATAAACTATCTTATAACAGTTATATTCATCTCTATGTTTAAGGCGTATTTTATTTCAAACAAAAAGAAACAAAGATAGATATTTTCAAAATTTTCAAACGGAAACAAAAGAAATCATAAGATTAAATGCGACCAGAAATATTGAAAACGACAAAATATTACATGTTATTAAAGACATCAACATTTTGTAACTTGTACGTGATATCTTTATTGTGTATGTTTGACAATTAACACATGCTACTTTCAGTGTATAAATGATAGAACTCAAGCTGCCAAAAATGCATCGCTGAAAACATAACTTATTGATTCGCAATTATATACACTTACATTTATATTTTTTCAATTAGAATGATCAATCAATAGGGTTTAAAAAAATAAATCTTTTAAATTATCAGAAAAAAATAATCAAATTCCAGTTACACAGGTATTCTGTGAAAGGTAAAAAAAAACACACATAATAACCATAAAACGTTACGGTGTAGATCCGTTATTTTTTCCGATTTGTAAGAAGACATTAATTCCAATGAATCAATTTTTATTGATGTTTATTTATATTATGACTTATGTTAAAATGTATAATACTAACCTTAATATAAATGTATTTAGATATTCTCCCTGGATACCTAATAATTAATACATATGGAGCTCAATGCTGTAAATATAGGCAACAGTAGAATACTGCTATACGCTAGGTAAATTGTTAGACAGCATAAAAGCAATAAAGATTATTTAATTGTAAAAAAAAAAAAAAAAAAACACATTCCTAATTTAAACAGCACTAAATCCCTCCAATGATTGCAAATGACATAATATGCGCAAATGCTTTCAACATTCACTATTTGGTGAATGATTATCATTATAATCCCTTACTGAAACTTTCTTTCTGGGGCCTCACTAGTGTCGTGTCATTCTTTCAGTGTAAAAGGCAAACCTTTTATAAAAAAATAAACATAAATAACTTATACCTGGTGAGAAATTCAGGCTCCTTGTTAACCGTTTTATTTGCAGTTTATTACTAGTTGATGTCATATTTTATGTTACAGTCTGTCATGAAAGACCAGGAATTGAGAAATCTGACACAAGTAATCACAGGTTAGATTTGTATAGGATAAACATGATACGTGTGGTATACATCCAAGATAAACCCCAATGAAGCAAAATATAAAAGAGTTCTAGAGGTCGAAAACTAACTAACAATGATTTCGTAGAAAACGAAAAACGAACAAAAGACAACAAAAAACGAACACAAAACACAACATAGAAAGCTAACGACTGCCTATGAATGAAAATAAAACTCTATCGAAGATCTACATTAGCACCAAATTTCTAAAATTAATGCAAACTTACAATATAACTTCAGACATCCATTGGTAAGCATTCAATAACTGGTTTTCAATATTACGATGTTGCTTTAAACTGTATAACGAATTTTCGTTTTGTCCTTGCAGTCACTTCATGTTTGTAGAAACGTATAAATTTAATGATCATTTTCTTTGTTGCATTAGCCTTAATTCTGTTTTAAAGAATGATTCGATGTTTGGTTTAATGTTGAGTTGTGTCATGGAGTTTTAACAAATTACTTACTATGTATAAGTGAAAAGAATAATTTCAAACATAAACTAGAAAAACTAGTTTGAAGCAAATTTTGTAACCCACAGAAGACTATGAACCTTTTTCTTGTAACTTGTCACTTTTTAGATGAGTTATGGGGGGAAATATATAGGTTATTTGAAAAAGCTAAGATCGGTAGACATATATTTACTTTAAAGAATTTAATCTGGGGTTATAAAATTGATGATGAACATTATTATGAAATAAACGTTTTACTTACAATTATTGCGTTTACTATACAAAAAAATCACTATTTGTCAAAATACAGAACAACGTATCTCAATCTGTATTATGTTTTTAAGTCAGAATTTGAAAATGGATTATTATTAAAAACAAAAATTAATAGTAAAGGAAAACAGATACTAGAAAAGATTTATTATTATATTTGAACATTATTATTGTGTCATTGTCAATATTGTTATTTTATTATATACTTTACAGAGCTCTGGGTATTTTACCTGTTAGATAGATGATTATTTCAAACTACAATTTCAATGAGTTTTGAAAGTACCTCTTAATTTGTCCCACATTGATATTCTTTAATTATAGATTATACGGAAGATTACAAATCATGTTTACTGTATGAGACCAACATTTTACGTATACACACCTTCTTTGGTTTATACATTTATATATTTGGCAAAATACTTAGTGAAAGTAATTAATCCACATAAAAAAACTGAAAATAGCGTTATAGCCAGACGATAGAGAAACATTTTAAACCACAAACCAAATTCCGAAAATGCTACTATAACCCGTTATTCTTTTTTACTCTCAACATCTTTCAGATAGTTAACAATGATATATATATTTAGGGATACTGTTATTGAAATAAAAACTCATATTTAGAGTTATTATATCAAAATAATAAAGAAATAATGTATTAATGATAAATAATGTTTTAATGATAAATAATGTATTAATGATAAATATTGTATTAATGATAATTTATATAGATATACTAACAGAATTATAAATATATATCTGAAGATACCCTGGTTTTAGGTAATAATATACAGGGATCTTCACTGAAATAGCTGTACCAGTGAAGAAATCTGTTAACAGCATGTGCATTATCGTTGTTGAATAAAATTTAAAAAAAAGAGTTGTGCCATGGCAGCAATTTCAAGATCACTCCTTGTTTAATAATACTTTGATTTTTATAATTCCAATTGAGGAAGCAACATTTTCTTTCGAATTTGTAAGATTATGTATGAAGAAATGATTTAATATATCGTTTCGAATTGTATAATATTAAGGTGTTCAATGTAACAATTTTGAAATCTTTTGGGCAGCCACTCATTGTTAAACAACATGCTGAATAGTTTCAATAACTCATTATATATTTGTTGGGACACAAATGTTCTTAAGGTTTGCGTAAGGGAATGATAAGATAGTTGATGTAATTTTATGATGTACACTAAAGGTAGATACAAAAAATGTAGTAACACAAAACCGAACTCGAATGTAAATTAAAAAAAGGTAGTCCTGAAAAGCAGACAAAAAGCAAAACGCTTTACTATATCCATAAACGGAAAATTGGAAATCAAATGCCATATTTTTGACTAGGTATATGCATTATCAATAGAAAATGGTTTTTTAGTCTGTTAAGATATTCTTAACTGTGACTTATCTAACGATACTATGAATTCTTATTATAAGAATCGAGTACAACAGTCGGTTTCAATGTCTAATATTGAAAGTGTATGCGTTGCAGGACATCACGTGCAACTTCTTTTTCATACTGCTATCTCTTTTTGGCAGAATAATAATATAAATTGATGTCTAAATTTTGTTTTTTATAATAATTTTGTTTTAACATACAGGCCCCACAGATGAAATACAGATATTTTCTGATAAAGAATTTAAAGATCTATTAAAGAGTGGGGCCTACAAATGTTATTGGAACAGAATTTTCCTGACTGGTCCATTCGGGGTTGGAAAGACAGCTCTAGCTAAGATTTTAGTGGGAGAGGAAGTTCCAGAACAACGTGAATCTACGGATGGTATTTGGATTTACATAGGAAGGGCCGGTATGGACATTCAGGAACGTAGATGGATTTTCTTAAAGAAAGGTATGCCTTATTAAACCAAACGAAGACTGGTAATTGGGAAGTTAAATGAAACTAGGAGTTGTGTGTTCCGAGAGAGCTAGAGTTCGATTCTTAATTAATGTTAGAATTGTTTTCAGAATTAAGGTCAAAATTCGAATCATAGTTGGAGTTTCAGTTGCCTTCATTTCGAGTTAAACCTTGAGGAAAAAATTTTATGAGAAGTACATATTTTTGTTTATTTTATTAGAGATACGACTGATATTGTTTTTAATATAATCGTTTAGGAAGTAGGCAAAATCTTTTTGTGCCATTTTAATTAACTATTCAAAATTACCACCAAAGTGTTATCAAATTGTAGCCTTTTGGAAATGCATATCAGAGAGTGCAATTCATTGGAATGATAATGGCAATATTTTGTCTCTTTTCCCTCTGAAATCAATATTCTCCAGAAGATTCTTGAATCTGTTGTGACGATAATCTTCTTTACTGACACCAGGATACTCATCATTCGTGCAAACTGCATATGTCACAACTCTGGATTTTAAGATGGCACAGTACTTAGAATTAAAGGCGTATTAAAACCATTTCAGATGTTCAAATGACTTGCACAGAGTGTCAAACTTTTTTCACATCGTAGCTACATTAAGGACGCAATTTTGTAAAAATGACGAAAAAAGGGGGGTAGAAACGGAATTGTCAGCTCTGGCTTAATGTGAAATAATTCATAGTCGTACATGGGCAATAACGAAAGGTCGTCTGATTTCTCATCACTGAACATAAAAATATGACCGTGACCCTCACTCTGTCACGTGACATGCCATTTTCATAAGTTAAAACTGTCGCTTGTATTTGGCTCGAGCACAAGTTTTTTCCCTTCACCATTCTCTGCCAAATTTTAACAGTAGGTTAAGCAACCACCAAGGTCGCTTAAAAGTGCTGGGGGTTAGAATAATTTTTTTAAATTGTTTATTTTTAATGAATTTTACATCTCTGAAGGTCAAATTCCGTGATTTTGCCAACTTTGCTTACCTCGTATGACTCTCAGAAATACAATTGGTGAAACCCCCAGCAAGATTCAGAATTGTATTTTAATGCAAAACATAATTTTCTTCAGTTGGTGGCATTTGTTTGAGATGAAAAGGTTGTGCTTGGCCAAAAAATAAAAATTTAAACGAAAATTCTATTGTCGGCGATGTTTTAAATCGCAACAAAGATCGCGATTTACTTGGTACCGGGGAAAGTGAGGATTGTTTCCGCGTGTAACGAGAGATAAAATAATATTTCTTTTAACATAAAAGCCGGTGTGTTTAACATTCATAAGAATATTTCAACTTTGTGTGAGTGGATATAAGTACTTCCAAATATATACGATGTGTCCATTTTTATTTGAGGTACATTTACTACAATAAAGAGTTTTATGGTTATGAAAAGTCCAGTAGAGCTACTTTACCTTTTTCAGAGACATTAATATGTCTCTGCTTTTTGTAGTTGCCAGTTGGACCAAGTTATAGTAATTGAATCGTTTCAATTATCTCATATGTGCAGAACACTTAAATAATGGAAGATAAACTATAAAAGATATTGATTATTAAAGAACTTTAAAGCTTTCAATCCATCTGCAATGATGTTAAATACAAGTGTGATCAAGTGTGTCAATATGTGACTTTCCATTTCAAAAGGACCTATAATCTTTTAACTTAACCAGAGACATAAAAGTATATGTCTCTGATTTTACTATAAAATTATGCAAGTGTAATATTTCAACAGAAATTAAGGAAAAACTCTACATTTTGTAATGAACTTAGAAAAAGAAAGATTTTACTTTTACAAACGTATGAGTTTTCAGCCTGTAATAATACATCTTGAATTAAAAAAAATAGTGCAATAGTTTTAAGGCCAAATATGGGACAGTGTCATGTTAGCAATAACAAAATCCCAAAATTTCAGCAGTGATTTTCCTTTTTTTGCAATCCCATTTATACCAGTAATCAGTGATATGCAAGAATAAACGAATGCATTATTTTTCTGAAATTACAGAAAATTCTATTTGTCAAATTGTGACCGCATAATCAACCATTTACACATTTGCAACATAAAAATACTAAAAGAAATATAGAAATAAATATATCTTTAACATCTCCTTAATGTTATGGAAGGAATTTTGCATACATTAATTGTATATTTGCATATTAATCTCGTGTAAAGATCAGTTCGCGTTCCAAGAATTTATACAATTTTTTTATGAAATAATATTTTTACAAAATTATACCAAAGCATGAATTCAACCATCTTCTAAATCATTATTTATCTTTGATATCTTGGTATAGCTGATTAAAGCAATATTTTTTCTAAGTTTGGAAATAAAAAAAATATCTTTTTTTTTGCATGCATTTTTTTCAATGAATTTTAGCAAACATGGTCCTATAATTTGGTTTTTCAGCAATATGATATGAGCTAACAAGTATCTTAATACAACATTTATCATGAACATATACAAAATAATTGTACAAATATATAATTCAACGTTTGTTACCCTTACTCTCAAAATGTAAACAGCGTGAGCCACCTAGGAAATATTGTGTTTTGCCCTATTAACGAACGGTCCATAATTTATTATTGTCAGCAATGAATTATTCATTCCTCACACGTCATAACTTCTTCAGTTTAATTTTAATTTTGAACATAACTGGTCCGTTGTACAATGTAACATGCTTTCTACGATTAAATAAATATAAATGCAATATACAACTGGCTATAGTGAATGAAAAACTGACAGAGTAAACCTGGTATTTCTTATGTCATTCTTCATATTATCTTTTAGCATTTTCTACTATTCAAACAGCATTCAAACAAGCATTCTGAGAGTATTGCATGGCAATATATAATCGCCTACCAAATAAAAATGCATTGTGCTGGACCAAAATGCTAACTTATCTATAACTTGTCATGGTGTCAACTATCCAAGAAATGTCAAATCAATATCTTCAAGAATGACGAAAAAAGTGCGGAGAACTGATTCTTTGTATGAATTTTTTTAAGTCTGAAGACTACAACTTTGCAATATTATCATATGAACAAAACAAACAGACAGACTGAGTGTAAATTTATAGTCCCTTCGACTATGTCAGTAGGGGACTAATAATTATATGAAGTCAACATTGAACATTACCTAGTATCTTAAAATATAAACATTTCAAAACAATGTCTAGCTGATGCTCTTTCTGCCCTTTACAGTTTCATTTAATGCATACAGAGACTACGGATACATCATGAACCCTCATACTTTACTTATATCATGTACATTGTACCTTTGTATTCACAGTTCATGCCGTATCATTGACATCAAAGAGTATCTTGAAAAAAAAATTCCGCTTACACAACTTCTTTTATCTTAGTTAAAAAAATTACACATTCTATCTACACTGGTCTAAGGAATAATTTTCTAAGTATCATCTGTTTAATTGTCTTATTAAAAATACAATTTAAAGCTCAACAGTACCAGTTATTTTTTGTTGTTGGGTTTCTGTATGATTTAAAAATGAGATGTGGTATGATTGCCAATGATCGAACTATCCACCACATGACCAGACTCAAAATAAAGTGGCAATAAGCAATTATAGGACTTCATACAGTCTTAAATAAGTGTTGATAACATAAGTTAAACAGTCAATTCCAGATAGTAAAACTTACAAGTACATGGTCAGTATGGACTTCTTTTACATCAGCAATTGAAATAGGCAATGACCCCAGGAACTCATCATTTCAGTTTCATGTTTTTCTTTTCTTGAAAGCTTCATCTTCTTTCTGCCATGTTCTTAATGCTGAGATATTTTACCTACCCAGCAACTGTGAAGTGCTACAATTTTAATGTAAATAGCACATAAACAGTTACCAGCCAGATTTTCTAGGAAGCTATGTAAAAATATAAATAGCAAGTTTACATCAATAAATGCCATTAAATTACAAACCTAAATAACATAATGAATATAAACAAAAGTGAACAAACTTTAATATCTTGCTTAAATAACAAGGACATTTTAGTAAGTTGGTAGTCAACCAGAATCGGCTTAAAATATATTATATATACAAAATGTACATGCATATACATGTTTCATATTGGTACAAATGTACGTACTTGTATGTATTAAACTCAAAGCTGACATGTCCACATAGTTAGCTAACCTAGCTTACTTGTGAATTTTAATATTTATTTCTCACGTGCCTTCCTTTCTGTTATGCAATTTATGGACGTAGTAAAATTGTACCCAGTTATAGTGAAAGGACTGGAGCTCTCATTCTAATAGTGACATATCATGACATGAAAATCAGATATATGTCCATAGAGTTATTTTGACTTAGATGACAGGGAAATGTTTATGTATATATCTGGCACATGCCTTCTTTTCTTGTAAAATATGTCCCTATGTATATGTATGTTTTCGAAAATTTATCCGGGATGAAATGACTCGCATTCAAATAGTCAACACATATGAAAAGCAAATATGTCCATAGGGTATCATATGATAAATATTATTCAAACTGATTATATAAAGAGTGTTAAGGAATCTGTCTAGTAGCATGCATCTAAAATATTATTATCATTATTTGAACTATGGTATCGGTGTAACGTGTCAACAAGGCCGACCACAGGCACAGTGTGTTTATATATCGAAGGAAAGTGTCACGTCATTTAGTAAAAATAAACATGTATCTCAAATAATATTATTATTATTTGGACGACAGAACAGATGCAACATGTTAACTAAGGTGACAAGGTAGAGTTTACAAATCTGTTGTAGATAAAGTCCAAGTAAAATATTACATATACGGTACAGGTGTAACATGTTAACAACGCTGACTACAGAGTGTTTACAAATCTGTTGAAGAAAAAATTACATGTACATGTATCTCAAATATCATTATTATTCAGGGCTACCGTACAGGTTTAAAATATATGTTAACTAAACTAATCATGGAGTCTTTACAAATCGGTTGTAGGTAAGCGCCAAAGTGAAAATAACAAGTATCTCAATTTGACAAATATTATCAATATTGAGCTAAGGTACAGGTGATTACGTTTTCTGATAACTTTTGGGAGAAGCTTCAAGTTAATTGCTGCATAACTACATGTATCTAGTGCAAATAATTATGACGTCTTAAAAGGCTATTTTATTTTTTGCTTTCACGCGCTGCAACAACTCTGATCTATATTTATCACTTTCCCTGCTTGAAGACAATGAACATGAAGGAGGATAATTTCCCCATCTTGTAACAAATGTATCCCTGATTTTTGTGCCTATATGCATTTGTAAAGAAAATGCGACCCAAATACAAAATTAAATCAACTCAAATGTGAAAATAATAGAATTATCAGTGCAAATAACTTCTTTTTAACCGAAAGAATGCATAAATAAGGCTAGTAGATACCCGACACTGTCGGAGGCACAACAATGTCAACATCATCAGGTGGAGGCCTGAATTTTGCAAACTACTCCGCTTATACGTACCGTTTGCATTTCTTGTGACGTTGTGAGGTTAATTCTTACTAAAGGTAGCAATACACAGTTAGGAGAAAAACTTAAAATTATCACTCATAGTTTTTAACCACTCTCTTTTCCTTGCTTTCTAACAAATAAGGCTCTATGTTTATATATATGGAATCAGCATCTTCCATAGATTTGATTTCCTATAGTTATAATGGTGAAATATAATCTCTTTTTGGTGTAACCATGGCAACAATCTGCATTTATTTGGTACAAAATATTGCAAAAAGGAGGATGAAAATGTCCCCAAAGTCCCCACAATTTGGTCCAAAGGAGAATTTCAATCCATTAAAGTGATACCTTTCCTGAAACCATAGATATTTATCTATCAAGAGGTCCAAAACAAATTATGCATTTCTGCTCATTTTTCCATAAAATTGAATTGAAAAGTTCGAGGTTCAAATCTATGTTGAAAAATACTACAATAATTTCTGGACCTATGGGCGGTACGGATGTGAAAATACGGACTGTCAAACAGAAAAATGGCATATAAAACATGCAAAAACAATCTTGATGTTCATATAAACCCACTGGAAGGCTATATTATTCTTCAGCTATCTAAAAATCAATTTTATTCTACAAAAACTTTCATATTTAAAAAAATTCACCATGACCAAAATGCGAAACTAAACTTCTAACTGTGTATTGCTACCAAATATCTAGCTAGATTAACAAAAATTCCACTTTTCTGTCCATATTTCCTCATTTTTCGTCACCTTACAGGTGCTCGAGAAAAATATTGATGCAAGCTCCTAATTGAAGCAGGTAGTTTCTGATTGGCTTAAAATTCGTAGAAGGCGGGGCTTAATACTTTATAGAAAATCGTCTAACTCACATAAATTCTACATCAATGTTTACTATTTTTCGATAATTACCCTGATTTGGACCATTCCGCACCCTAAGGCAATGATTGCTGTAACGTTGTTTCATCACGAGATGGTGAACTGGACATTCTTCATCTCGATCATGGCGTCGCGGGTACAAGACGCATGAATATTTATTGAGATTGAACAGATTTATCTGCCCTTGTCGAAAGTAGTGTAAAAACGGCCTTAATGTAGATGCGATGTATGATGTTCTTAATTGAGGAAAAAATGAATGAATGAATGCATATACATCATATGTGAATCAAAATTTGAAAAGCATTTATAATGTGAAAGAAAATGTCAAACAATCTATTCAAACGACTGTCAGACTAGTTTACATGCCACACTCCCTTCACCTATTTAGACCGTTTTTTAGACCATATTTCGTGAAAGTAAAATTTCTTACCTTGTGTGTACACGCCGAAACACTTCATGTAAAAATGTGATCATTATTTTTATCTATAAATTGATTTGTGATTAAATTTATGTTTTTTATAATTTTGACAATATATCATATTAGGGACTATCTTAAACGCCACTGTACAGAGCTACCTGAGGAGTACAGAAATAACGAATCTAGGTACTGTTACATTTAGCGAGGAAATGATAGATTCAGTTGCTGAAAATTCTGGTGAGGAAACTAAAGATCTCGCTGCTTTAACTACCGATGATGAAATCACAGATCTAGGTGCTGGTAAATCTATTGAAGAAATGACAGATCCAGGTGGAGCTGAATCTAGTAAAAGTATTCCACAAGAAGATAAAAAGAAGTCAAAGCTCAAATCTTTCCTTAGTCTCCCAAAATTTATACAGAAAGCATTTAAAGGTATTTTAAATTATTATTATGTGTGAATGTGTACAATAATTATATGCATTTAAAAAACACACATGTAATGATTTTCATTGAAGCAGGTGTCTTCGGTTGTGTGTGTCTCAGCATACAAAATCGACAGAAATACCAAAGGGACAATCAAAAATTCCAGTCGAACTAAACGACAAACAGCAAACATATTCAGCAGAACATACCCCCGGAATATGTATTGCTGTCGCTGCCTCACACAACACAGTGTAAACGGGCCCTTGCTGATATTTCAGTTTTTTTATTTCTATTTATATATCTAATTGGGGCGTTTTTTTAAATGTTAGTGTTCAAAAAGGAATTGTAACGATTGTAACGGATATAGTTATACCCAGATTTATATTGAAAAACATTTACTCGAATAGATATATTCCCCTTCGATACGATTGTGTGGTACGAAAGTACACAGAATACAAATATAATAAAAAAACAAAACTAAACTATGAAATTAGGATTTGATCCTCCCCTAAATCCAAATATCATTTATTTGTTTATGAAACAAAGGTAAAGTATATTTTTCAATATATCTATAAGTTTAGAATGATTAATATTTGTAGTAATAGAAGAACAAGTCAAATATGTGTCTTGATAGCTCTATTAAGCTTTTATTTTTCCTAGTTGTTATTGGCTTTGAACTAGCTGTCAGTAACTGCGAGTACTCTCAGATCTGTATTAAGTGTCGTTTTGTTGTTGGGATGTATTAGTTCCCGTCCACGTCCACTCTGTGGTGTTGATAGATGTATTATATTTGTTTCCATTTGATGAGTTAAACCTTTTTTAAACTGATTTTTATAGTTTGTTCTTATGTTGTACTGTTGCACCACTGGCCAAGGCTAGGAAGAGGGTTTGCGCCTTCAAACGAGTGTAACCGCGCCACATTCTGTATGTGCCTGTACCCAATCAGGAGCCTGTAATTCAGTGATTGTCATTTGTTGCTGTATAACATATTCGTTTTTTCGTTCATATATTAGGCTGTTAGTTTTCTTGTTTGACATTTGGCATTTCGGGGCCTTTTATAGTTGACTATGCCGTAGGGGCTTTGCTCATTGTTGAAGGCAGTACGGTGAACTATAATCGTTAATTTTCGTGTCATTTGGTTTCCTGTGGAGAGCTGTCTCATTGGCAATCAACCCATCTTCTATTTTTTATATTTAACTTTCACATTGTGTTGTGTTCAATGAAAACTAGATGCATGTTGATTTGTATGGTGTTAATCGGTAATGTGACTTAAATTGTCAAAAATTAAGTAATCTTCAGTTTATGATTAGAAAGTAAGCGTCATTCAATGCAGTCCATTATTCTTCATTGAAACATGACAAAGACATGTAATGATGTTGTAGCGGTATATATGGATCATTTCTGTCATCTTGTGACGTCTTGTCGTCGTTTTCGTTGTCGTCAATGTTTATGCTGTCACCTTCGTAGTCGATGTCAAACTTTGTGTCAATCATCAACTTCTTAAAACGGCATGACAGAATTCAATCAAACTTTCAAATATTCTTCTAGAGGACAGCTGTGCACTTTTATATATGCTAAGATGTTATATTTTGGGTTTCGCTTACAATGCTAGTAACATTGAGTTTGCCATTTCTTCTAATGTTTGAAAGCGACGCATGTCTTCTTGGAAAACTTGCAAAAGTGTTTTTTATAGTTATTACATAAACAATATTCGTACAGTGTAGGAAAATGTAAAATCTATTTGACGAGCTCTTATAAACAGAGAGGAAAGTGAGGTTTGCCGAGCTTTTCTTCTGTTTCGAAGAGAGTACAAATACATTTTTTTATTTGTTTACAGTGTACGAATATTGTTTAATCTTGCAATTAAACATTGAGCTTAAACGTACATTTTTTTCCTATCCTAATCGCTATTGAATGAAATCGACATGCCTAAATGCGGACTGCATTGAGGACCCCCAAATTGAACTCTTATATAAAAGGTAATTTGAGCATAACCTTTCACTTGCAACTGAATCAGGATACCAGAAGACAATAATGTCTTGTATACGTTTATCGTTCATTTGTTTACTGCTACCCTGCATTTGTATAGTAGAAAGGTCGATTGCAGGATAAAAAGTTATACAGAACAATATTGATGCATTCCTATGAAAACAATATGAGTATCAGTGGACTAATGGCTGCTATTTTAGAAATCGTCGTATCTGAAATCTTATTAAGATTGTATAATGATTGATTGATGAATCACTGTTTGCTTAATGTCCAATGGCAAACATTTAATGCATGTTCGGGACGAGAACAAATTAACAATAAATGCAATAGGCAGGTTCTGCAAGGCGGAGGTAGACAAGGATGCAGGTGTAAACATTTGAAATGTCACTGAATGATTAAGATATGTTAGATAGTGACATATATTTTGCAGATCAACAGGCCAAATACCGGCCTCCCGGAGAGTTGTTGCAATGATCCTTTAAAGAGCACAAGGAGTGGCATTTTCGTTACATTATGCATTGGATTTAACAGCCGCATTCCAACCAGATATGGCTGCATATTTAAACATCTCGCACAGTCAAACTGATATTTCCCTTTCGCAAGGGTTCCACTTCCGGGTGCACTTGGGTTGTTCAGTGACATAGAGTATACATATGTTTCATTTTGAGATCAATAAAACGTTTATGCTTTGTGATTATTTATGTATAGTAACTGTCTGTTTAATAAATGTCAGTGACATTCAAAGCGGTCAAACACAAACTATTAACTTAGTAAAATGTTGGGTCATTAAAACATAAAACATTTCTATCTGAGCTATCATGTTTATCCATTTTTGTTGAAATTTGCATTTGGTTTAAATTACAACCTTCTAGAACAATAAAATTATAACACCTTGCTTTTCAGGTAAAAGTACCTCGAATAATAAAACCCTAGATGATGGAAGTGCAAGAATGGATGGAACTACGAGTGATGATAACGTGATTGCCATGGATATGTCAGAGGATGACATTTTCAGACTTCTCCGCTCTGAATGTACAAAAGGAAATTATGAAATGGTTATTGTACCGATAGATTTGTGGGATTTTGGAGGTCAAAAAATCTATCAAATGACTCACCAGCTATTCATAACTAGTAGAGGAACATTTCTTCTGATATTCAATGGCAGCAAGGATATTCACGAAGAAATACCAGACTATACAGAACTCCCTGGCTGTCAAGGGCAAAGAAATACAGCAGGTAAATAATATTTGTAAATTAGATAAATATATTGTCAATTTACTTACAAATAAATTAGTAAAATATATTGTCTATTTATATACAAATAAAATAAGTACGATATATTGTCATTTCTAATACAAATAAATAAGCAAAATATATTGTCCATTTACATACAAATACATATAAGGTTCATCGTCCATTTACATACAAATAAAAAGGTAAGATATATCGTCCTTTTATATACAAATAAATGAGTAAAATGTATTGTCCATTTACTTACCAACAAATAACTAAAATATATTTTCTATTAACTAACACACAAATAAGTAAAACATAAAGCCCATTTACTTACACATAAAGCAGTAAGATATATAGTCCATTTGCATACAAATTGACGAGTAAAATATATTGTCCATTTATATACAAAAAAGTAAGTAAAACGTATTGTCTATTTACATGCAAATAAAGCAGTAAAATATATTGTACTGATATTGACCGTTTATATACAAATGTATTAATAAAATCATGTGTCCAATTACAAAAAAAATAAACAAGTGGAATATAATGTACATTTACATATTAATTACATACAAATTAATAAGTAAGATGCGGTGTCAATTTATATAGAAATTAATAAGTTGAATAAAGTGATTATTTACTTACAGAAGAGTAAGAAAATAATATATTTTACATACTACTTAAATATTTCAAAGTTTTAGAAGACGCTTTAAATACAGATCACTAAACCAAGCTCTCGTTAAATATTAATAGACTAAACATAACAAATATGGTTCCTTGAAGAAGTAATGGCCCTCAATATGGAATTTTTCTTATTTTGTGTTTTGTATCTTGAAATCTACAAATATAAAACGAGTCTTTTTTTAGGCAAATGATAAATTGACAAGATCTACGATTGCAAATATGTAAACAATTACATACATTATCATAGGACATAATCGAAATAATTGCTCTTAAACTGCTATTTTCTCAGAATTCTGCATTTTGTTGCTGAAAAAGGAAGAGTGATAATCCAATCAATCTAAATGAAAAGAAGTATCTACAAGAAAATAAGTCAGCCAAAATTGTAGATCAACTTTTAGTTGAAATTATTGTTTGTTGATTGATTTTTTTACTGTCAAACCTTTGACAAAACTTGGATTGATGCTTTTATATCGGAAAACAGTATACTGAGCAAACATTTGACAATTTATCTTTTTCTTTTCTTCATTTTTAATTTAAAATGGACGATATTTTAGCAGTTAGTTTTAAAACTGGCTAAAGTAAAAGTATTTTATCCATCAATCACTTGTGAAACCACCCGGGATTTTAACGAATCTTAGAAAGAAGACTTTTCTTTATGACAATGCAGAATCGAGCTCAAACTTTTAAAAACATAATAATTTGACTTTGTTTTTTGTTGGGAGCAGAACCCTTTGCATATTTTGTTAATTCACTAGACATCCTTTTAATTAAGTTTTTGTTCCTTTGAATGGCGAATATGACCGTACTGTAGTTAACTGCCTTTCAACATTGTAAATTCTATAATCTATAAACAAACAAAGATGAAAAACAATTGAGGGAATCGAATGTCATTCAAACAGAGTGCGATCCGGTGGGTCGACATGGTAGGTTTTACTACTATCCACCAAACATAGTGAGATCGGGTAGGTCAACATGTTAAGGGTCCCCTGCTGTCCGTTCATTACCCGCTATACAATTCAACTTTCAATAAAAGTGTCACAATTTAGAAATCAACACAATCGGAATAATACAGATCTGACATCTTGGTATATGAATATTTTAGACCGCAAAAAAAACATGTCTTTTGTGATATGAAACACAGATACGTCGTATTAATCAACAATTTGTGACGGTAACCGTGTTGGTTTTGGCATTAGCGTCAACAGTTAATTAACATTTTCCATTAGGTCAGTTTAAAGGGAACCACTTATGATAAGTCAAATATATTTAGTATGTAGTTGAAATAGCATTGGCACATCTCATTGCGATGGAGATTATTTGGTTACGCACCCGTCCCTCGGTCACAGCCTATTGAACATGAAACTTTTGCTTAGTTTATTTGTTATCGTTTTTAATTGGATTAGTTTGAGGGGAACCACTGATGGTAAGTCAAATCATTTTTGGTATGAAGTTGTATGATAATTAGCACATTTTATTTACAGTGAAATTACATGGCCCCGCCTCCTGAGTCATTGTTCATTTATTTTGAATTTTTACGTCGTTAAAAGCTGTGATTATATCAGTTTTAAGGGAACGGCTTATGATAAGTCAATGATATTTGGTTTACAGTTGTATTAACGTTGGCCTATCTAATGTCCGTGGAGATGATTTAATCCTGGATCTTCAGTAATAATTCATTTATTATTGGTGTTTTGTTTGGTTAACATGTTAAAGTATTGCCATTTTGATATCAACATTTGTATTTTACTTTGAAAATTTCATACAGACGATACACATCTCTGTCTCTGTTATAATTGGATGTACATTTTATACTTTCATACATATTTATTTGCATATTCTTTGTTATAGTTTACCTGGAACATTGGGTTAATTCTGTCCTAACATATTGTAAGACATTGACAGAAAATGAAGAGTATCCAAAAATTAAATTTGTTGCGACCCACAAGGATCAAGTAAAAGTAAGTACTATCATGATTTCAGGAACTATGCACATGTAAATTATCTTAATCTGTATTCACTGTTCTCATGTATAACCTGCTGTATTAACAAAACAATTCCTTTTTGTTCAATCTATTTTTGCTACTTTTGCCTGTATCCTGTATTGGGCTATATATGAATGAATTTGAAATTGAAACCAAAGTTTGGACCCCCTAATGTACAAAACTGCAATAATACTAATAAAATAACTGATATAGCTGAATGATTTTTTTATCTTTGTATATTTTAGGGCGATGTAGAGGAACAGAGACATGAGTTGGAAGACGCAATCGGAAAACTCTTTGAACACCATGGAGGAAAACAGCATCTTCTATATCAACCACTTATCTTTATTGATGCAACAAACAGGGAAGACGAAGAAATAGACACATTAAAGAAACAGTTGGTGGAGATTGCATTAGACCATCCTCGCTGCGGAGAATTGATGCCAACAAAATGTGTTCCCCTTGAACTTCAATTGGCCAAAAAAGTGGAGTAAAAAACGAAAATACTATCAATTGATGAACTGAATGACATAAACAAGCAAAATGAACAATCGGCATTAACTCCTAATCAGCTGAAAAAGTTCATGAAGGTTAACCATGCCCTAGGAAAACTGATTTACTTTGACGAAGCTGGCCTGAAAGATAATGTTATAATAGATCCTGTGTTTTTGGTGGATGTGCTACGTTCCATTGTCACTGATGAACAGTTTTGGCCGGAACATCTCCATAACATATTAAGAGATCTTAAAGGAAGCGGGAAATTGATGAAAAAGGATTTATATGAAATATGGAAGCAAGACCGTTTTCGGGAGATATCACAACATAAAGATTATATGGTAGACATGTTAGTTCATTTAGACATAATTTGTAGACAAAAAGACGATGAAGATGGATCAGACTTTTTCTTGGTGCCATGCATGATTAGTACCAAAAGAGAAGAGAGCCAACAGATAGAGCTTGACAGAAGCATCCATCTAGCTTACAGGTTCAAGGAGGAAGTTGTTCCACCTGCCATTTTGTACAGGTTCATTGCCACTTTTATATCAATGTGGAAGTTACGGGTCAGTGCAAAATCCAGTCGTTTGATGCTCTTTACAGACAGTGCTGATGTTACAATTGACGGGGAACACGATATGAGATTTGACATTCGGGGAAACAGATTTATAGTTTCTCTTTCACACAAAGAAAACAAAATCTCCATTGTACCAACAATTGCATCTACAGCTCAGGAATGCCTTACGCATGCTATAAAAAGTATTTCCAATTTCTATTTCTCAGTTTCGAAGGATTCTGATTGTACTAGAGATTTGCCATTTACCATTCAATTTGGTATAGTTTGTGGGACAGAGCTTTGCTTCTTTAACCATACATTATCATCTAAAGAAGAATGGACATGCCCAGATCACAAAAGAAAGCACAAGACTAATGTAGTGTCAAAATGGTTTGCAGACAAGGTATATATTTTGTATTTGAATAAAAAAGATTTTGCTGTTTAATTGACCAGTCAGTTATATTTATGACCTATTATGGTCAATATATTCATTTAGCATAACCTTATTCAAACTAATGTTCGTAATGAACAAATGAGAAAGTATCATATAGAAATATTGCTTTTGAATATAGTTTTTCACAACACTTTAAAAACCATAAACTAGAGATCAGGCATACTATAAAGTACGGTTATAAAACTAATACAGGGGATGTGAATACTGAATGGCAAGCTAAACATACCCCGAGAAAACCAAATGTGGAACAGTTTAAAAGAGAAAACGAACGGTCAGATTTATACTACAACTATAAAAAAAAAAAACAATTATAGCAAATAGGTATAAACGACAATCAATTAATTACGGGCTCCTGGGTTAGGATAGGCTCATCTAATAATGTGAAAAGGTTGGGAAAGGTTTGAATCATCAGAACGGTACTGTGCACACACAATCAGATAACAAAAAGGGACCAAAGCTCAAATTACCGATCTTAGAGTAATCGTTATTACTGAATGCTGGTTCCGAACCCATTATCAACTTATTAATAAATCATGTTCTCCCAGACTATAAAATAAATCGATGAACCTCCATGAGTCTAAATATGAAACTGTCATAGACTAATTGTTGTTATAAGACTATTTCTACCTATCTTTCAGATACATACAGAGGATGACAGATGCCTTGAGGATTGTTCTGGTAAGAATGTTTTTAGTATCACCGATATTATGTTTGGTATTGCTACTATCGTTGTTATAGCATCCACAATAGAGTTTACAATAATTGTTTTTATTTTCTTCTCCTCAAATAAAAAGAATAATTGTCAAAACAATCAGATAGCTCTCTAACAAAATATAAGAATAAGGAAATTTGGTATGATTGACAATGAGACAACTATCCACCAAAGTTCAAATGAAATACATATAACCAATTATAGGCAACAGTACGAACTTCAACAATGAGAAAAACCGATACCGTATAGTCGGAAAATAATGGCCCGAACATGACAAATGTGAAATACTTCAATTGGGAAACTAACCGCCTAATCTATAATAAAAAAATTAACGAAAAACAATTTCTTGTATGTCAACTAAAATGTCAACCGAAATTGTTAAAAGGAACATAATGTTTTTGATATACATTAACAAAAGAGCAACCCATCAACTCATGTTAACTAATATAAATGAAAAGAAAAATATGACATCTGATATTCATAAATGTGAACGCAATCCTTTAACTAATGTCAAATGACACGAAGAAAGGAAGAATAATATATCTCTTGTACATTAATGAGTAAGCAATCAGCAACTTATGTCAACTGATATAGATAAAATGAAAATAAGATATTGATACACATCAATGTGAAAGCAACTCATTAACTCATGTCAATCATTATGGATAAAAACAAAATCAAAATATTCGATCTACATTAATGAAAAGGCAACCCATCAACTTATGTGAAGCGATATGGATAAGGGAAATTCATTTAGTGACATATATATCAGTGAGAATGTCAAATGTGAACACCTGTCAACCGATATAGATAAAAGAGATCAATATATTGGATATAAATCAACGAGAATATAACCCATCAACATATTTCAACTGAAATGAATTACATAGATTCATAGTTTGGAAAAACATCAATGAGACAGCAACCAATTAACACAGAACAACCGATTTGGACACAAAACCTGAGTATATTGTATATAAATCAACGTAAAGGTAACCCATCAACACATTATCACTACCATTATAAATGATAAGTGGTTCAAGGATTATCTCAAATGAGTGATGTCTTTCAAGCAAAATATGCTAATTATCATTTATATTTTCAATAATCAAAGTTAGAGTGAACGGAAAACGATTTTGGTTAACAAAAAAATCATTTTAATCATATAAGAACAATTACTTGCAATAACTCGGTTAATTTATTGCATTGCATTCACTCATGCACCAAAATCATGTGTAAATATAATACAACGTGATATTACAAAAATTATATGGAATGGTGGCATTCCTGAAGTTGAATTTGTGATATGTTTTCCGCAGTCATTCGTTATAATTTACTAAATCTCTTCCTCTAAAAATACTAGGCTAAATGAAACAGAGTTTACTTTGTTTTCTGTCGATCGATTTATTACTTTTGAACACAAGTATACTACTGTTGCCTTTATTTACTTACCCTTAATCATTATTTTGGCTTCTTGTCTAAAACATGCGATGAATGTCCCAGCCTACCAATCAACGTAGAAATCAATGCCTAAATTACTATCTTGAAAACTATTACAAATAGCAAACATTTTATAAGGGCAGACATGTACATAATGTCAATATCTACCTACCGTCTATCTAAAATAAATATGTCGGACGATTGATAATAGAAGTTATTGCCCCTTTATGACAATAGCTATTATCTTAAAAACTATAGCACACCGAGAGAAACTATCAATGGCAACACAGTTCAGCTAGACAATATCAACGTCAAATGTTTAACATTATTAGTTCACCTCTTATAAGAGTTATTACCCTCCAACGAGGATTTGCCCATTTTTGTGTTTTTTGTAGAGATTACAGTAGAAAGAGAAAAGTTTTGAATCTCAAAATGAATAAAGGCAACAGTAGTATACCGCTATTCGAAATTCATAAATCGATTGAGAAAAAAACAAATCCGGGTTACAAACTAAAACTGAGGGAACCACATCAAATATAAGAGGAAACCAACGACACAATAGAACCTCAACACTAAAATGCAACAAACACAGAAACGAACTATAATATAATAATGGCCATTTTCCTGACTTGGTACAGGACATTTTAAGAAAAAATGGTGGGTTGAACCTGGTTTTGTGGCTAGCCAAACCTCCCGCTTTTATGGCAATGTTAAATATAACATTATAATAACAAGATTACATGACAGGACTACAATACAAAAAAACGGGAGAACATACAGGACAGAGACACACACACATAATAGCTATCAAAAGGTACCAGGCTTATAATTTAATACGCCAGACGCGCGTTTCGTCTTCATAAGACCCATCAGTGACTCTCAGATCAAATAAGCCCGACAGCCAAAACAAGTACAAAGTTGAAGAGCATTGAGGACCAAAAGTTCAAAAAAATTGTGCCCAATACGGCTAAGGTTATATGCCTAGGATAAGAAAATCCTTAGTATTTAGAATAATTCATACTTTTGCAAACAGTAATAAAAAGGACTATATAATAGATATACATGTTAACACCGATGTGGTAACTAACTACAGATTAAAAACGAATACATAAAACAACCTAAATCAGCACATAAAAAATGAACTATTAAAAGGTAAAATAAAAAAGTAAACTGTCTGAATTCTACAGTCGACTCTTCATAGCAACAAGTTTTGACTATTGTTGTCTTTGTTGATGACATTTTCTTATAGATAGAAATCAACTTAAAACACTTCAAAAATCCAAAAAATGTTCAATTAGACAAGATCTGCAAACAAGATAACATAGCTTAAATCATCAATGATCAACTAGACAAGATCTACCAACTATATAACATAGCTGAAATCATCAATGATCAAATAGACACAATCTATAAACAAGATAGCATAGCTGAAATCACCAGTGTCCTTATTGAAGTTATTGTCCTTCAATAAAGATTTTTTAACATTTTGCAAAATTCATGAAAAGAAACGAAAGGGCAAAAAAAAAAATCAAATAGATAGAATTGTAAAAAGTTATTAGTGGTAATAAGTATAAGTGTATAAGTTTCATAACATTTGGTTGAGGCAAACTTAAG